ATCATCTCTCCACCGCTATGAGTTTGGTAGCCGAACCACCGCAGAAAAAGAAGAAAAAGAATCCATCTCCTCCGTCGTTTTTGTCGCTTCCAGATGCAATCGTCGTGAACTGTCTAGGCCGCATATCGAGATCGTACTATCCGAAACTCTCCCTAGTCTGCAAGACCTTTCGCTTTCACATCTCCTCCGACGAGCTCCACGTGGCGCGGATTCAAAACAAGACCACAGAATGCTTCGTTCATGTCTGCTTACAGTTGCCTGATCATCACCATCCTTCCTGGTTCACTCTCTGGATGAAACCTGATCAAACCCTAACCAATGACTTAACGAGTAGGAGGAAGTGATCTCTCGGAAATACTGTGTTGGTACCAACACCCTCTTCTTCCTATTATTGTCATAACCCATTGTTCGTCGTTACGCTTGGTTCAGAGTACTATGCACTCAAACAATACCATCCTCCATCCACCAACATGTTTGTCTGTAACAAGGATGAGATTCTATGGCGTAAAACCCCCAACATGAATGTAGCTCGGGATAGTGCCATCGCGTGCATTCTCGACAGCAAGATATATGTAATGGGAGGTTGCGCAGCAGACAAATCCACTTATTGGGCCGAAGTTTTCGACCCAAACACTCAAAATTGGGAGCCCTTGCCTGATCCGGGGGCCGAGCTCCGCTGCTCTTCAATGATTACAGTGCAAAGCACGACGCAAGGGAAGCTTTGGGTTAGGAGCAACCAGAAGAAGGAATATTTTTATGATCCGAAAGAAGGTAAGTGGTCCGTTGTAGCTAAAACATTAGCGAGTTGTATGGTAGAGAATATATCGTATTCTTGTGGTAGACAAAGATGCTTGTGGTATGACGCAAAGCGTAAAAAATGGAGATTTGTTGAAGGTTTGGCTGAGTTTAACAAGAAGTCTCGTAGAGGTATGATTGAAATAGCTAACTACGGTAAGAAACTCTTAATCTTATGGGACGAATCAACTGGCTGTCGAAATAAAAATATTTGGTGTGCAGTGATTGCGTTTGAAAAACGACGCAATGGTGATGCAGTTTGGGGAAAGGTTGAGTGGGCGAATGTTGTGCTTACAGTTCCCGCTTCATGCGTTTTCTTGCGTTCTATTCTGAATTCGTGTTGATCATTGTGTTTATGCATGCTTTTGTATTGACCATCGCCAAACAGCTTTTATTTATTAATTCTATAGGTTCTTATTAGATTAATTTCTTGAAACAATCAGTTGTTTCAAATAAACAATTATGTTATAAGGTTACATTATTGGCAACATCAATGGTGGTATCTTCATCGCATTGGAGGCTAATCTAATGTTTTAATAGTTCACCATATATTTAGCAAACAGACAATCTAAGACCAATGCGTCTCGCGCATCATTAAAATTCCTTCAATTTAAGATATGTTAAAGCTACAAACAAAATTTTCAAAAACAAATTATTGTAAATCAGCGAATATTCATCTAGTTATCACTAAAGTTGTACCGTGGATTGTGAATCTTTGATAGGTTAGTGGCTCTGATTAGCGTTTATTAAAGAGTTTAGCGTGACACTATACTACACTTCTCTTGGCTGTGTGTTTGGACTTCTTTGGCTGTGTGATTAATTTGCTATCAGTGTCAGAATTGTTTCTATTTCTATAACGATCATTATATAACTCATTTTTCAAATGTTGATCTTATATACGTCATTGTTTACAGACGATATTTATTACCTACAATCAAACCGATCTTGCACATAGTCCGTTAAACTTCTGCTTGGCAACAAAATTCATTATATAGTCAATTTTCGCTAAGAAAATAGTTTTTTTCTGTTTTATTGGCACCGCACACACTGTGATGCCAAACATCAACAAGATTCATTATATATAGTAACCGTAATAACTAGTAACTACTAGTCTACTATAAGACTTGAATGATGGTCTTTATAAGACTCTAAATTTTATTGGCACCACACACACTGTGATGCCAAACATCGGACATTATTCAAGCGAATATATCAAAGTCTAACTATCTATGTGTTGAGACAAAACATAAAAGGAACTTACCTTTTACCTAGTCGAAATAAAAAGATCTCTATTAAAGAAACGTAACTACTTAATTTTTTGGTGACGATAAGACTTTTGGGATAATGATTTGTCAATGTAACAACCACGGAGTCCAAGGAGGGTCACGCGTCAGCTAAGCCAACCTCAAACAGCTACAAAGACGATCAGTTACTAAATGACTTTCGAAAAGTATTGATCTCATGAGTTTTGTAGCTATATCAAGCACATATTAAAACAAATTTTATGTGGTATTTTTGTTTCTCTCTAATTGATGATGACAAAGCGATCACAGTGACGTGGCGCATAGTAAAGAGCTAATGGTAAAAATGAAGAAAAAAAAATAGAACGAATATAAACAAAACAAATAGTCAAAAAAGAGGCGCGAAAGTCAGATCAGGTGTGAGGAGGGGTTCATGGAATGAGAGAAAAACACGTCAGCATCAGAGGCATCGTATTCATGATTTCGTGTGTGTTGTGTTATAAAAAAACAACAACTCTGTTTCTGTAGGCAGTCAGCACTTGATGGTTCTTTGTCTTCTCTATCTTTTTACTCTTTCTTGAGAGAGAAAGAGAGAGCAGCAACAAAAAAAAGACACGTCATAAAAGCTCTAAGGAATCACAGGGTCACGTGAACACGAAAGCCAAAAACAAAATTTTCTAAAATATATTCCTTGAAAATGATCATTTTAGCTTTGGGATAGTTTTTCTTTTTACTCCTAGAGTTAATTTAATAATACTACTAGTCTGTCAGAAGTCAGACATCAGAGTTTCGCACGTGTAGAAATTTTGTTAGATATGGACGAAAGCTTTTGTTCAATCAAAACGACAGAGGCAAAGCCTTGTCACGTGAAAGGAAACATAGTTGGCGCGTAATTTTTACGACCTATTCTCCTCTCTTTTTTTTGATAAAAACCAAAAAAAAGTCATACAAAATTATTTTCCCCGTTGGGATTTTGAAATAAAAATAGAGACCATTAATCTAATCAAACAGCTCAAATATCGATTTTCTTCCCGGCTAGTGTTAAGGGTTGAGGCCGGTGCTTAATTTTTACTGAGATAAAAACAAAAGTTAATTTTCATAATATTTTAAAGTTGTTTTAATTTTTTTTACTTCAACTGTTTATTTTTTTTATTATTACTTATGATTATTACTAAGCTTGAATTCTTTTTATAAAGAATTTGGTTTTAAAAGAAATTGCTTTGGTAAAATTTTATATTGTGAAATGTGAACAATTAATTATCTAAAGAGGGTCATCTATTTTCAAAGAAAAAGAACCTATGTATCTCTTTGGTCAGCAGTTACATCAAATGACTAATTATTTTGGACAAAAAGAAAAACAAAATCAGTCAGAGCTATAGATAGAGTAGTTGTGTCAAGCTCCTTTATTTAATGATCTCCTTGTAGCCTCGTCCTCGTGCATCATAATCACATCATAAATATGGGCGCCAATAAAAATTAAAAATTATAAAGGGTAAAGCTTGAGAGAGGGCTAAAGCAGTAGGGGATTACGTCAGCATCCCTATGCACAGGTCCAGTCAAAGAGGCGGCCCATTTTTCTTTCTTCTTCGTAGAATACAACATTTTTATATTCTTCTTTAAATTTTCTTTCATATACTATAGTTTTGGTTCACATTTCTCTCAATAGTCTCGCTCTGAGAAAAGCATCGACTTTGTTACGATCAAACTGGACAACAAACACAAAGAAACCCCCAGCTTTAAAAAACTAAGGGAATGTGGTTTGTAAAACCACAAATGCGGAGACAATGACAAATTTCACAAAATCTCCAAACCTCAAAACATTTCGCTATAAATGTGTTGAGTGTAACTTTTAAGTTTTACATATTCACTTAACTAGATTTACTCGATATTAAGATAATCTAACACACACAGAAATATATACTACATGTAACACGTCTTTTCTTTCGCTTATAAAATCGGAAAATCTCAAGTCTTTGTTTTGTTTTCAATATCGATGCTACTGCTCTCAGAAAGAAAGAAACAAACTAAATCTAAAAGAATGATGTACCGTTTTGGTATAATGTGCCAAGTATACCAATCTTCCCACTAAAAATATGATTTGTAATTGTGTTAATTATACAGTTTCAAATGAACCTTGAAATTAAACTGCTTTTTTAATCTTGTATTATGGTAGCATAAATTATACGGTATGGCGATATCTTCGTTAGCAGTGTGTTTTAAAGTAGAGCACTAAAGCAATTAGTCTTTCAATTGCTTAAAAATTTAGTTGATTTATCAATAAGTTGAAAGGCTAAGAGCCGAACTAGAAGTTGATTCGAAAATGGTGAATGAGACAGTGAGACTGGTAACACCATTTTTCGCATCTGGACAATTTCATCATCTGTCAAATCTTGAATGCGATCGATTTAAGAGCCGAACTAGAAGTTTATATAACATAAATTTTCCAACAAGTACGTTTAACAAACTTATAAAAAGCAATTAGTACACTCGGTCCGCCGTTAACCTGAATCCACTTTACAAAATATCCATGTTGTAAAAGTATACATTCAATTATTAAAACAATATATGTTGGTGTAAGAACACCCACGTGTAACAATCTCTGAACATACCACAGTCACATCACCTAACAAGCAAAAGATCGAACGGTGCTTGATTCTTTAAAACCCCAGAGAAAACCTCGATCCTATACATAAAATATTCAGTTCTGTTTTACTTATTTTATTACCTGTAAAAACAAATGTATATACTGCTTAGGAAAATAAAATTGATAGATGTGTTATATAAATAATCGTTCAAAGAAGCCGAGGATTACGGGTGTCTCAAGTGGGCTCCATATAAACACCCCTTTTCTCTTTAAACTCTCCCTTATTTTGGTCAAACAAGTCAACAAAGCAAAGTCTCTTTCTTCTCTACTTTCACTTTCTCTCTTTCTCTCTAGATTCTCTCATTTCCTACTCTAGAACAATGGCGTCGACGACTTGCGCAAGGGAAGTGCATTACAGAGGAGTAAGGAAGAGACCTTGGGGTCGTTACGCGGCGGAGATTAGAGATCCTTGGAAGAAAACTAGGGTTTGGTTAGGCACTTTCGACACTCCTGAAGAAGCCGCTCTCGCTTACGACGGCGCCGCCCGTTTCCTCCGTGGAATCAAAGCCAAGACTAACTTCCCTTCTCCTCTCTCCCTCGATCTCAACCACAACCCTTCAGCTCCCTCTGCCGTCGCCGCCGCCGCAGAGAACCACCATTACCAACACCAACACCGTCGAAACCTCTGGTCTTCCGCACATCCTCCTCCTCCTCCGATTCCTGACCACCACCAGCACCACCGAATCTTTCTCCGAACCGGTGTGCTCAACGAGAAAACTTCCGATCTCCCCTCTATAGAAGCGCCGCTTTACTTTGCCCCCTCGCCTGTCGCTGCCACGTCATCGCCTCGTGTGGTTGGGTTTCCAATGATGAGTTCCTCTACTTCCTCCCCTACGGTGAGACGTGGGTTATCCATTGACCTCAACGAGCCGCCGCCGCTTTGGCTGTGAAACAAACGATGAAGATGATGAGACAACGGCGGCGTTTTGCTGACATTCCTTCCTACACGGCGCCGTTTTGAACACTTTCGGTGGAACTTGTTGTTTAACTTTTAGTTTACTTTTTTAGCAAATATCTTCTTTAGAGTAGTATGAGTAGTTTTCTTTTCAACTTGTCCCTTTTTTTTTGTTATGTAAGAGACGGATATCGATTGTTATGATCCTCCATGTTGCGGAAAAACAAGAAACTTCTAAATTAGCAGCAAAAGTTAACACTTCTTAATTACTAAGGAGCAATGTACTAGTACTATATTATTATTATGTTTCTAAGGATTTGAAAATGGATCTAAAGAAAGTAAATTTGTTGTTGTGGATTGTTACGACCGTCGCTTATGTCGGTTTCGAGGGGTTTTTACTCTTATCGTATCCTATGGCGTGTCGTGAAGTACGGACTGACTTGTGTAGCTATTTACTTTGCTTCCTGTTTTGACTCACGCGCCTCTCGAACACGACAAAATAAGACTGAGAAAGAAAGAAACAGACAAAAGAGATAGAGACTAGTGAGAGAAATAAAAGACAGAGCAAGCGTGTGAGTTTGGACTGCCCCATTTTCACTTATGGACAAGAAATGTATTATCAGTTTCGAGTTGTAGATAGTTTTTTTTTTTCATTTACTTTTACGACTCATATAAAACAATATATTTCCGTTATTTATGATAATCAACCTAATTAATCCCAAAATTATTCGAATATAGGAACCATACATAGAACAATTCAAAAGTTCGTTTAGAAATTTGATGCTTTTATACTGCATGTGATTAGAAAGCGAATTCGTGTAGTTATACGAGACTATGCAACATTATTTTGTCACGGAAGCATTACATGTCTTAGACGTATCTTTTAAATCAAGTTTTCTCTTAAAAGAGAAAGTAAACAAAAGAAAAATTAAATTAGTAATCGCATATTTAATTAATGTAATACAAGGGATTGATGGACCTTATATATCATATGAATATATTTTTGGGTCTAAGAAACCGGTTGTATAATTTGAATTTTAAAAATATGGTCTCTGTGACGAAATTTCTGCATGTGTTTCTACAATGACATTAAATTAACCTAATTCCCCTTTTGGCTCTTGTGGAGACCCCACGCGCCGTCGCCTGACTTCGCTTGTGTTGTAAAAATCAGTTTTAACTTTGGGTTACTTTTCTTTAGTTATTAATCATAGTCTAATGACTGTTTAGTGTGGTTCTTCTTTGCAAGTCTCTTGTCGTCTTGACATTCATCTCTTTTCTCCATACATATATTGTGGTGGTCGTTGTCCTCTCTCCACTATCTCTAATTTGTTCGTAGGTTTATTAAAGAGAAATTATCTGACCAAAAAGTCTATTTTACTACAAATTAGTGCTGTTTAAGTTACTCAAAGTGTGGCGGCAGTGGCCGACCATAAAATTTTGAGGTGTTTTTTAATCATACCTTTTGCGTGTGTAATTAAAGATAGAGCTGTCAAATGGATATGTCCGCGTCTAAATGGGCATGTCCAAATGGACATTCTTCTTTTGTGGACAAATGTGGTCAAGCCCAAAAATGGCCATGTCCAAAAATGTCCACGTCCAGATATGACCAGATTAGAATGGGCTGTCCGCGGTCGGCCCATATTCATTTTATGCTTTTAATTCAAAATTTAAACAAAACATAAAGTTCCTGATTACCATAACTTGACCATTAAAAATTCAAAACACAATGTTCAATTATTCATAAAACATAATGCAAAGTGCAAACAAAACACAATGTTCAATTATTCATAAAACATAATGCAAAGTGCAAACAAAACACACGGTTCATAATTAACATAACTTGATTATCAAAACACAATTCTTCATGCTTCCTTGTGTTTTCCTCCATGAACTCAAATTCAACATCAACTTCAAAATGTTAAAAAGCAAATCAAGTTAGTTACCAAATTTTATACCACATAAGCAATTAATCACAAAATAAATGTTACTTACGAATCTCTTCAAATCCCCGCAACCAATTTCTTACACAAATCAATGCTTGCACATTTGAAGGTAGAAGACAACTCCTATACTTGTTAAGCACTTGACTTCCTATGTTAAATGATGATTCAGAAGACACTGTAGTGATGGAAATGCAAAGTACATCACATGCCATAGATGAGAGCTATTTAAACCTGGTTGCATTGTCTTTCCAATATATCAGGATATTCAAACTTTTGAAAGCAGCCATATCCAACACAGGCTCATCCAAGTATAGATCCAAAGCTGACTTTGCACTACCAACAATCTTTTGTGAAAAATATGCATAAAACCCCTGCATTATCACAAAACCAAAATCCAAATCATAAACCAGAATGTATTATGAACAAAATGCAAAAGAACCATCCATCAACTTAGCTATCACGTCAACTCATTTAGACCATTGTTTAATCAAAAGTCAAGTATGTAGAAAACTTACATCGTAACCTGCTAGAACTTGTTCTTCCAAGGTGTTTGCTTCTGAAGTGCTTGCAACTATGCTCTTTGGATTTTTCTTATAAGCTCCAAAAAGCTTATTCATTTTCTTACGAAGATGATCCACTTTAACTTTACTAGTAGACTTATCGAGCGTGTTGTAGCAATATTCCAAAAAGGCAAACTTCAGTCTTGGATCAAACACTGCAGCAATCGCAAGTATATCACTATACTCCTCCCAATATTTGTCAAACTTTGTCTTCATAACATTCACCATTTCACAAATAGCTTCATCTTCACAATACTCATGAGATCTCAACCAACACTCAATCTTCCAAATTTGCATAAAATACAAGTCTGAAGTAGGATAAGAAGAGCCCGAAATCAAATTTGTCATCTCAGCAAAAGGACTCAAAAACTCACATATCATCTCTGCTCTTGTCCACTCTAGATCAGATGGAAAACTTTTATAACTTTTCTCTACATCTGAGAGATTGCGCAACACATCCTTATACTTGATAGCTCTAGAGAGCATCAAATGAGTAGAGTTCCACCGAGTTGTAACATTTAAAACCAGACCAGATATTGAATGAAGTCCGACTGTCTCCACACAGTTCTGAAACATCTGTTCTCTAGACTCTGAAGCTTTCACAAACTTCACACTCTCTCTGATTTTCTCTAAAGCTTCACTTATCACGCTTAATCCATCTTGTACAATAAGATTCAGAATATGAGCTGCACATCTTACATGAAAAAACTCTCCATTGCACATCAAGTCTTGGCGAAGCTGTCTCTTCAAAATGCCTTGCATGTTATCATTTGAAGAAGCATTGTCCACTGTGACAGAAAACACTTTCTTCTCTATTCCCCATTCTTTCAATAACTCCAGAATCTTCATTGCAATATTAACACCGGTATGAGGAGGCGGAAATGCACAAAATGACAAAATCTTTGTTCTCAAATTCCAGCCAGCATCAATGTAGTGTGCAGTCATACAAATGTAGCCTTCAATAGTGATAGCTCTCCAAAGATCAGTGGTCAAGCAGATTCTACCAGGAATTTCTTTCAATATCTGCATAAGCATCTTCTTCTCCTTTTCAAATATCTTTAAAACATCTGCCGCAGCCGTATTTCTACTCCAGAACTCAATAGCAGAGTTAGCATAAGCAAAAGCTTCTCTAATCCTTATATACTCAACAAACGAATACGGTAGATTATGCTCAACTATAGCCAATGCAATCATTTCACGAAAAATCAATATATCTAGCTTTCTATTACTTCCAGGCGTGCTTCCAGGGGTTTTTGAACATATTCGCATATGGCGAAGCAATGTATTGGTTCCATTTCGTCTTAAATCTAAGCAGTAATGAACTTTGCAATGCTTGCAAACAATATCATACTTTCCATCCAGTAATTTTTCGCCAACTATTGTAAAGTTCTTCCAACATTTTGAATGTCTACGACTGGTACGTGTACCTTTCTTAGTCTCAGCAGTGCTCCCTAGAGAATCGCCTCCAGCAGGAATGTTTTCTTCCATCACATCATCGATATCATCCTCACTCAAATAGTTTTCATCACACAAGTTAAGAATGTCGTTATCCATCTGAAACAAAGACACAAAAGGAATTCAAAGGCTGAACCAACCATTCGCAAACAGCACCAGATGAACCAACCATTCACAAAATCTATGCTAAATAATGATTGTGCTATTATTGTCTCGATGAATAAACTATGCACAAAGGTAAACCGAGCAACAATCCAAAAGCAACATGAAAATCAAGCGGATCTGAGCGAAAACTTAGAAGCAATGTGGATTTAATAAGTATAACTTTAAATTCCTAAATCTAAGAGAAGTATGATTCGAAGAATCGAAGGTAATATATAGTTAAGTTATCTGAAAACCCCAAGCCGTGGTGGCTGATATGAATCGGTAAAGGGATTGCCGAGAGGTAAAGGAAAACGAAATCCCAGAATCAGAAGATCATCACACAAGTTTAGATGTCGTTATCCATCTGAAACAAAGACACAAAATGAATTTATAGCTGAGTATATAAGTCATCTGAAATATAGAGATATCAAAATCGATGCAAAGGAAATTCAACATTGGATTCAAAGGAAGAACCGAAAAGCATTATTAATAGCCCAGAAAGTCAGATTCAAAGGTAAAGCAAACATGAAGACATGAGGGAATTGAAAGAAGGAACTCACATTATCGAAAACTTTCAACATGGTTTTGTGAAATCTAGAGATACTCAGGTGAAGATCCAACTTTGAATACAATTTCAGAAACCCAGAATAAAAAAATCTAAACCAAAAACTTAGAAATCGTGATATGAACAGAATCAATGGAGAAAGTTGTCGATAAAAAATTTTTGGCGAAGAAAAACCTGTTTTTCGATTTTTCCCCAAAATCAACAAAACCTAAAGATTAAAGACCGTTGGGCCGACTAATAACCATAAGGTCAGACCCGCTCTGGCCACGGACAAATATGGGCGTAGCCCATTTGGTCAATTTGTCCATCTGGACATAACCATGAATGTCCAAAATAATTTGGACCGGGCTTGTCCATGGATAGCCCGTCCATTTGACAACTCTAATTAAAGATTTGAAGATAGTCCAAAAAGAGTCCTAAGAAAGAAAAAAAACCGGAGGATATCGTCAAAATATCACTCAGTTAGCACAAAAGTTTCTAGAGTGAAACATTAATATTTCATCTCGTTATGTAAGTAAGCTAAATGAAAAACAATAGACACATGTTCTTGAAGACATAAAATTTTGTTGGTTTTTGGAATGGAACAAACTCCAACGAACATTACGTTTCCTTAACTCTTTTTTTCTTACAATTTCAAAATTAAATGTTGTTATATGATTGGGCCAAAAGATCTGTTGGGCTGTTAAGCAATGGAGGTCCAACTTTAGTTGTGTTTATTTTCATTTTAGGTAGAGCTTCTTCACTTTGTCTCACATAGCAGCAAAACAGGTCCGAACCAAGTCTCCAACCTTGAATGCTCCAAATTAAGGATTGCGTGTTGGTTGGGCAACTCTCTCGGCAGTCGCCAACCCATCCGCTGTGATCACTAAATCTTTTTTTAGCAATTATTTATATCAATGTTATCAAATACTAGTAGTTTTTATTGAATTGTGTTATAGCCTTGTTTAACTGCTAACTAAGAGTATCTCCAACCCTAATTCATTTTTAATTCCAAATGCTATTTTGGAGTAAAATTCTCTCTAACCCTATTCTATTTTCAACTCTAAAATTGAGTAAACTTAAATTATACTTCATATTTGGAGTAGATCTAAACTCTACTCCATTTTGAAGTTAAACTTTTTTATTTGCAAATTAATCCTTTAGATTTAAAATAATTATATTTTATACTATTTAATATTTATAAAAATATTATAAAACTGATAATTGTATATATTTAAACACTGCAATTATTTCTAAAAAATTACAAAATATAATAAACTTTAAAATACATAATAAGTGTTGAAATTAAGATAAACAATATAAATAAATTTAAGACAACAAATACAAAAAACATTAATGATAACTTTTTTTAGTAATAGTAATGTTTAAATAAAAATTGTGTATGCTTTTTGTGATGTTATGTAATTTTCACAATTTGATAAATATTTAAGTTTTAGTTTTTGAAATAAATTATAAATAATAAAATAAGTGAGATTTATTTGTAAATTTTAAAACTAAAAAGTATTTATAATAAAATCAAATAAGAATCTATTTAAAATATTCCTTTTTGGAGTAGAAAATAGAGAAATACATTGGAGCAAAACACAACTCCATTTTGGAGTTACTCTATTTTGGAGTAGAAAATGAAAAAATACATTGGAGAGGGTCTAAGATCATATTTGTGTTATGGGCGAAATGAAATGATTAGTGAGTAAAAATCATATAATTTTAGTTACAATGTCAATTACAATTCTTGCGAAAATTATTGGATGGAATTTGAGATTTTAATTTGTACGCTTTTCTGTTCTGATTATTAGGTTACATATTTTGATTTTGAAGGTATATTTTTTGTAGATCTTAATCTAATACAATCGAATATCTATAATACATCTTAAATTGCTTTACAAGGAAGTAATTAACACTTTAAACATATATATATATATATATATTAACTTTGTAATGTGTTATTTTATCCGAATTATTAGGATATCAGTTTTGAAAGTCAAAATAATTAACACTTGAAACATATATATTTTGTTAACTTCGCAATGTGTTATTTTATCTGGATTTATTAGTATATAGCTTAAGTCAAAAATCTCAATTAATATACGTTTTAAATTGTTTACGAAAAAGTGTAAAATTGTGATTGATAATATATATAATATTATAATTATTTTTGACAAAGTACTTAGTATTTGAAAATATATATATATAAAGTAATTAAAAACAAAAAGTTAAAAATTGTGAAGATGACACATCAATAAAAAATAGCCTTTAATTCTATATACAATTATGTAACTGTATAATACATATTCAACAATTTTCTTGGATAAAAGAGTTCAGATACATCATTTTTAACCAATTAAAGGCTAGATTTTACTAGGATGGATACTAGCTTGATCCTATAGATACAATTCCCAATTAAAATTGCTTTTCAAAAGCGATCTACATATGTAGAAAAAACAAGAAGAAGATATATATATATATATATATATATATATATATGGTAATTAACTATCTTTCTCCTTCAGAATAACTAACTTACTGTATATCAATATGCTCAGCTCAAATGGCTCAACTACAGAATTCTATGTTAAAGAAATCCTACATGGGAATGTAGCCATGTAGGAAAGAACGAATATCCATTAATCTATGACAAGTGACCACAAAAGCAGCGACATACAAAATCTCTGCTTAACTGTATCATGATTCATTTGTGAGAAACAAACTTAAGTTAGATTTCATTTGCCCAAAAAAAAATGTTAGATTTCATTTGCCCAAAAAAAAGAGTTAGATTTCTTCTTTGAGTTTATATAACAGCGGATTAGTATATAAGATAAAATTTATGTTGCATACAAAGATAACATAAAAGGCTTTATAACTAATTAGCTATTTTATAAATTCCATAACAACAACAAGCAACAAAAAAGAGAACTACTGTGCACCTTTATTTGAGGCAGCAAAATTCCGTTTTTGACCAAAATAAATCCTATTGTCCTAAATAAAGTACCTTTTATGTCTTTCCCTCGAATCAATTGGATATAAGAAGATATACAAAAAAATCAACGACTTGTATTTGTGTGTTCTTCAAAAAGATTGATGCCAAAACAAAGTAGTACTATATTATATTTGTTGATCAGAAAAAAAAAGAGAGTAACAATTAATGATAAACAACAGCAGATGAGAACAAAACGTTCTCAAAACACTAAAAATTCATTTTAACTTTCTGCTGACGAAAAAGGAAATAATCTGGCCACCACTTTAAGAAACGACAAGCTTCATCTAGATTATCAATTATACTCGATTTAGATCATTTGATTCATCTAAAAATATTTAGTTTTCAGGCTTCGGAGGGAAATTGAGATCCAAATCCAAGAACACGCGTCGTCTTTTCTCTGGACTAAGATCCATCACCACAGACGACGAGTCCGATTCACTCCTCGCCGTCTCGTCCTCGAACACGATCATCCCAGACTTGACCTGAATCTTCGGGAAAGGGAACCTGGAATCGACGGATCCGAGATTGAGATCAGGAACCGGCGACGACGATTCGACGGTGCTGCTTTGGCTCGGGCTCTCGTTGTCGAAGAAAGGAAGAGGGAAATTGGTTTTGGCCTTGGCGCCGCGAAACTGAAGAGCGGCTTTGTCGTAGGCACGAGCCGCTGCTTCTGGAGTGTCGAAAGTTCCGAGCCAGACTCGTGTCTTCTTCGATGGATCTCTGATCTCGGCGGCGTAACGACCCCATGGCCTCCTCCTCACTCCTCTGTAACGGTTTTCTTTGTTTCCGCCGTCGCCGCCGCCGTTCGTTTTAACGGCCGCCGTTTTAACTGTCGGCGCCATTTAGACAAAACAAATATTTTCTTTCTTTTGTTAAAAAAGAGAGGAAATTTGAGAGGTTGTGGTGTTGTTTGTGAGAAAAGAGAGATTTGTGTTGGATTTATTTATAAAGAGACAGAGAGAGAGAGATGAAGAGACATAAACAGTCAACCGCGGTTTTGACTTGAGGGCGGCTGAGTGGCAGATTTCGTAATATTGTGATCCAGTTACGTGGCATCTTGTTTTTGTCTCCACGACACGAACGAAGAAAGTGAGTGAAGAGGCTTTTTTTTTTCTCTCTCTAATCTTTTTTTTTTTGGTTTTTTTTTTCTTGAATGAGTTTTATGAGATTTACTTTTATCTAATAATTAATGTCATATTTTTAGAAATTTAGTGGATATGTAATGGCTTTCCGAATAAATTGACGTGCGGTGGTTTGCAAATTAGAGAGGAGCCCACGCGCTTATTATTGGTACGTGTCGTTTTGCTGCGAAACAGAGCACATTTTAGCACCACTAATATTTTCTTCCTCTATTGGTAAGCAAACTGCAAACATACACGACGTGCCAAATGATTATAAACTTTCTTAGATAAGTGCGATATTAATTATATTTCTGTTTTTATTGCAATTAAAGAAAATGTAATCCTGATCATATACATATATTATATATATATATATATTCAGAGGAAAGTTTATGGTCCATTGAAACCATCGACAATTCATGAATGATACTAGTTTATAATTATCAAATCTATATAGAATTCAGTTTATATTTGACTAACTTTTTTTCAGTTTGTTAGAATAAATTAATTTTTCTATTGATTTATTATTCTGATATATTTTAAATTATGAAAAAAATCGATGGAAATATGATTATATTAAAAATAAGTTTTTTTTATGTCTCGTGACATGTGGCCTATCACAACTTTGGCTAAAATTTTAGAAGATAAGCAATTACATGTATATTTTTTTTTCTTTACCATTATTAAGAATTAAGAAGACAGGCTCACAGGCAATTGTGTAAATCGTTTAAGTTATTCAAGCTATTTTTTTTTATCAAATATATTAATGATTTTGTGATTTTTTTATTGAATTCACCGACAATTATGTAACACTATGTCTTAGTTTTTTTAGTACAGAAGTTTAGAGAAATTAGGAAAATTGCTATGTGCTTCCTTTCTTCACTTGTATTTTTATCTATACAATAAAAAATAAAATTGTTTAAAATACTTATAATAATTATTTAAATATTTATACAAAAATGTTACTATTCATGTAGTATACTGAACTCCAATGTGATATTTATAAATATATTAGGAGATATTTAGCTAATAATGCTATACTTATATTTTATATATTCTTTTCTTTATTTAGCTTAATTTTTAAGCGTCGACATATTTTAATCAACGAGAAATCTTTAGATGTCTAAACAAATGTTCTTAATAATAAAATTAAACAAAAAAATAGTTTATAGTATCTTATATTTTAGACTAGTATCTAAATTAAAATATTAATATGTAAATCAAGAACACAGACGTAGCAAGATAAGAATAAATAATGAAAAATTTTAGTTTTTGAATTGCATTTCTATTATATATATATATATATATTTTATGTATTACATTTTTGAAATGTATCTTGTTTTTAAAGTTGTTAACAAAAACTTTTACTTAAATTTATTTAAAAAAGGAGAAAAAACTCATCAAAATATCTCCATTGTATGCTTTTAAAATAATAAAATAGTACAAAATGTCTTATATACATAAAATACACAAAATATTAATAATTAATCAATAAAATTCACACTAATGGTGTCTTAATTGAACTTGTTCTAAAGTGTATTGATAAAGTTTTTTTTTTTACTAAAGATAATGAAGCATATTGTTAAATTCAACTATTTAGTTGTTGATAAAGCCAATACTAAGATAAGAAACAAAATTAACTTGCCATAATGTTTCTCATGATAAACACTATCTATCCTGGAGGAGACATAACAAAACTAAAGTGAAAGGATAATTTTATAAAACATTAGTCCGGAGGGGAATAAATGTTTCTGAAATTATAGTAGTTTATGGCTATACTAGTGTACGTAAACGTAATGCCAATATCTATCATTGAACCTTTAAAACAATTTAAACGTGTTACTCGTACGTTGTACTTCAGATTCGTTATAAAACCGTCATAAAATCAACTAGTGCGAGGTTGTCTTTTGGGTATGAGAGTCACAGATTATAGAAAAGTTTTTAATAAACAATCCGAAGGAAATATATGGAATAAATCGTCTGGTTTCCAAAAACATGATATGTATATAATTTTAAAACAACAAACCAATGCAAAATTCATAATCGTTATCTTTCATAGGGTGGTTTGGTGCTTACATAATCCAAATATAAATCTTGTGTTCTAGTGTCGATTGTAAAAGAAAAGAAAAAACAATATTGATAATCACTCTAATATTTAAAACAACCCGAGCCAATATTGCAAATACTCAAACTGGTCTCACATACGGTTGCGGATGGCTTGAGAGTGCACATCCTTTACGTCCTAATGATTGGTAGAAGAGTTAAAACAAATCTTAAAAACAAATAATATATATTTGTAAAACATGATTACTTGCTTATATGTTGCTTAAAAAAGGACACATTTTGACAAAAGCAAAATAATGGACACAGTGTTTAGACCAGAGAACATAAAGATCGGGTTGAAACCAAGGACACGGGGCTGCAAAGTGTCGGAGAACAACCACTGATGAGAAACATATTTATACAGTCATCGCAGTATATAATAATAAAAATCATTAAATAAAAAAAATTAGGGGATTCAGACAAAAAAATATAGCAGTATAAAAAATAAGTAAGTGTTGGGATTATATTGTGTTACCGGTTTCCCGGCTTTCCCACCGTTCAGAGTTCAGATGCAGTGCATTTAATCCCACTTTGCTTAAGTTTGATAGATTCTTCTCCTCATAGTTTCACATTATTTAATTGCACTTGGACTTTGTTCGAATGGGCCACCATAAATACGCGGTCTTCATATTAAAAACTGACTATTCATTTTCAGGATAACTATCCAACAAAAAAAATTGATACGAAAATATTAATTTAACATGAGTAATATATTTGTAAGTAGTACTATGTTTTAGTTTGTTGCCGAGAAGTCTTTTGAAATAAGATTGTTTCAAAATTGGATACTTTGAAATGACAAAATCGAAACTGGTCGTCTACCGACAACTAAATCAAGATTTCCATAGATTTCGATTGTAATTATGTTACCATCAAAGTATATGGTTATATAGCAAATATATAAATTTAACAAAAAGACATCAAGTTAATATTAGTAATGAGTTTAATTTACGCCCAAAAGTTAACTTTCTCATTTTTAGAATTATTCACAAATTTGCTAAATTTTTGATGTGAGATAATTCCAACATATCTCTTCACGTTCAGAATTTTAAATCTGAAGCGTAGAGTATATTTACGAATGGAGGCTATAATCAGAATAATTGACTATAAATCTGGGTTTTAATACCATATTAGTAATAAACCTAACTCATACCAAAAAGCTAACTCAAGAGTGAATAATTACTTTATACTATATATATTGTCTACAAATTTCTCAAACTTCCGATGTGAGATAATTCCAGCAGTTATCAAGTTAAATAAACTAACGGATACATATGTATGCGTTGTATCATAGCTGATAAATTACTGAGTTGTACTTGCATATACGAACTACTTACTTAACACATATACGAGAGTAGCTGCTATCTTTCATATGTAATGAATGATATGATTTTTTTGTTAACTGATACGATATCATCAATTGTAACCAAATACATTATGTTGCAACTTAAGAAAAAAAAAAAAATTTGTCAAGTAACTAAATTAGTTGCTAGATGATCAGTGACCACTTTCAGTAAAAGTTATCTACTAAATTTTTATTTGTACATATTGATTTATGAAAAAAGGTTATCAAGTAATGATCAAACACGTTTGGAAAGAGCGTAATGAGCATACACATCAAAAAAAGTTATCACTATTACTTCTAATTCCTTACGAACGTTAATAAAACTATCCATGATCGGATCACTAGTCTACGATTCAGAGATGAGCAAATACATAGACGTCTCTCTCGTCGTTGGCAATTCATAAGAGGAGAAATATGAGGATTTCAAAGATTGTTGATCTGATTTTACAAAACTTCGATATTTTTAACTTCGATATTTTTTTAATATGGCAATTTTTAATATAAAGATTGTTGCTCTGATTCGAATTATTACATATATGTTTCTTAGATCGATAGTAAGAGTAACATAATCAACACAATAATAACAAAGTCTCTCCATGGTTTGATACCTCAGCTTTTTAAACTTTACAAACATGACACCTCAATAAAAATAATCACTAATCAAAATATTTTATTAATACATCTCATCTATTTATTAATTTTAAAATTTAAACTCATTAAAAACCCAAATATTTTTTTTATTAATTTTTGTTTTATTTTTTACCAAACCCAAGCCCAAATAGTTAATAACAGAAAACAAAAAAATATTATTTTATTTTTTACCAAATCCAAACCCAAATAATAAATAAAAACAAAAAAAAAATTAAATCATTGTTTTTTTTTTTTGCCATAACCAAATCCAAATAATAAATAACAACAAATAAATAATAAAAAAATTCTAACTATCTGTTTGTTTGACATAGATGTATATGATTGAAAAAGTGTAGATTCAGCATCAACTATACTTCCATGACAACAACGCAAAAAGCCTTATGTTATAAGAAGCTCACACATCTGCAAAAATTTGAACCGATAAAAACATAACAATTTCTTAGTTTTCGCGGGATAACACAATTTCACGGGAGATAATGCAATTTTTGTTTTTTGCGAAAAATTGTAGTTTATTTGTTCTTGTAGGAAAGCTTGATTCTGGGTTTGACGAGAAAATGATTTTTTTTTTTGTTTTGGCAGGAATAGACGATTTCTCAGTTTTCGCAGGAAAAATAAATTTTTCGATTTTGGCGGGAAAATACCATTTTTTTTTGTTTTTGCAGGAAGATGAAATTTTTTGGTTTTTGTGAAAAAACGTAATTTATCGGCTTTGGCGGAAAAACACAGGTTCTCGCAGGAAAAATGAAATTTTAAGTTTTAGGTTTGACGAGAAAATCGATTTTTTGGTTTTGGTGGGAATAACCGATTTCTCAGTTTAATGGGAAAATGAAGTTTTTTTGTTTTGACGGAAAATGCGATTTCTCGATTTTTGTATGAAGATGAAATTTCTCTGTGCTAAATTTTCAAGTTAAAGTATGTACAGTAACCAAAATTTAATTTAATTTTAACTAAAATAATATTTTAAGAATTCAAACATAATTTTCTATTTAATTCTAAAGCAATAACAATGGTTTTGATATGAATTTTATTGATTATAGTTTGGTAGTTTTAGAAACATATGTTTATAATAAAATATTTTATAAATAAATAAGTTTTATAATTCAAAATAATCATATTAATTAATAAATCTTTTTAAAATGGTATTTTGCTTTATATAATTACAAAAGAGGATCATGTGGCAATTTATTGGAGAAAATAGATTACATTTGCCATTAGCATGAAGGTATTAAAAATGTATTGGTTTATTCTTATATATTTTATTCTTATATATACATTTATAATTAGTTAGCTAACTAAATTTAATAGCAAGTTATAATTTTGAAAAAATAATATATATATATATAATATTTATTCAGATTTAAAACATATAAATACATAACTTAAGCTAATAAAAAAATAAATATAATACTCATTTACATTATAAAAATAATTTTATTATATTAAAAATATATACAAAATTTAGAAAAATATTCCGCAGCATAGCGCGGATAAATATCTAGTATTATTTAATAAATAAAAGAGTTTATTTAGATATTCATTTTACAAGTATTTGTTTTAGGAAATATGTAGCACAACAATCTTTCATATCACAAATTTTATAGATATTAAAACCAATTGATTCAGTCATATATAGACGACCCACCTTTATATACACGGTGACGCATCACTATTCGGATTTTTTAGTTTCTTTTGGACCGCATACTATTCGGAATTAGATATGTAATTACATCTTACGCGTTGAATTTTGTTTTTTTTACCTGAGCTTTTGCGGATAGTTTTTGGAGTAGTTTACATGTCCAACGATGGTATTGAAACAGTGTAATATAATACGAATAAAAGTTGATGGTTCAGAGTAATTAAACAACACAGTGGGTTGATGCATGAACGAAACTCACATCACATGTGTGATAAAAGTATCTCTACGAATCAAAATTATAAGGTTAATTAATTATTGGAACGTGCCGGGAAAAATAACAAAGGAGGAGACTTTTAATATTTTGGTGGTCAAGATGGGGACAATGGAGACATTTGTATCAAAGCGTGTCCCTCGTTGACTAAATCTCATTTATTTGGCGCGTGCCACGTAGCACATTGTAACTAAAATCATTCGAAACACATGTTAAACGAATATTACGAATTCTAAAACAAAATACACTCTACAAAGGTTTTATGATATTTTTCTCATTTTTTAATGTTCTCGTATAGAAAATGGACTCCCAAAACATATAATGTTTTCGTAGAGAAAATGAACGTTAAATCATTAATACGTATAGAGAAGCCTTGCTCGATATGTATATAAACAGTGGTCTCGCTAGTGCAATCTAGTTTTCCTATCTTTGTAACATTTTTGAGCACGAAAGTTCGATTCCATCTCTCCGCAAAAGATTAAGAAAGAATTTAATAAATTATGTTGGGAAAAAACAAACAGCCATCCTAAATTTACAAAATAACAGTACTGCATACAATAATTTTGGTTATCAAAATTTCTAGTTAGTTTTTTAAAACATTCATAGCTTAATCTATATGTATGTACTGATCAAACGGATTTGGGGGCTTCCTCCATAGATACGACACATGAGAAAAATCAAAATTAAAACATGAATATAAGCAAAAAAGCCTATGATAATTGATAAATAAGATAAGAAGAATCATGTCAAGAGTCTTAAAAACCTCTAATAAAAAAAAAGTGATTTGAGAAAACATATACTACTATTTCCTTGCTGGTGCGCAACTCATATGCACTCTCTTGGATGTGGAATCATGTGAAAACAAGATCAAGCCTAAGTTAGCATAAAATACGGGCCTTATCATACTATTGGGCCTTTCTCATATTTTGACATTCAAAAGAATCCTTGCGAAAAGTTTGAATTAATAACCAATCGTGATTTCGTGTTTCTAAAAGTTACTATAAACAAAGTACATGCAAACCCCATGATCTTTCTCATTCATATGACGTGATAACCAAAAAAAAAACTATTGAATCCTCAAAAGCCCTCTCTTATCTACATTATACTTTTGATATAAAAACAAGTTAATTTCATATTTATGCAAAATAAATAAATAATTAAAACACGACATGGGCTGTAATCCTTTATCTAATCTGGTTTTAAATAGTTCGGAAAAGGTAGGAACATCATGCAAATCCCAAGAGTCTTGATCATGATGGTTCCTCATGCTTCTACCATGTCCATGTTTCTCATAACTACCCTCGCTATTGTCTTCATCTCGACCGTAATCGCAAAACCCTCTTTCTCTACTTCCAAATCTTCATTTCATTATGTAGATTCTTCATATACAGAGAAATCTAAGGGCTTTTTACCAAAGCTGTATGGAGATTACGGGTTTTGGAACCCTAGCCCGATTTACGGAGGAGGTTTCCCTTATCCTGGGCCCGTTCCTCATGGTAGGCTAAGTCCGCAAGAGAGACATAAGAAGCCAAACTAAACCCGGAAGTTATGTTGGATAGGTTCTTCAACTTTGCTACTTACGGGTAAATCTTTTGATAGATGGATGTTCTATAGACTATAGATAAGGTAGTGCTACATGGATATATACTTAATTACTGCACATGAATAATGTCTTCGTTTGTGTGTTTGTAATAGATACAAATTAATAGTTGTATACACATTTTGTTTTACAATGTCTTTAGATAAACCATGTGTGTCTAATATAATCTTACGAATATGTCAGTACTCAGCATTTAGAGCAATAATTGTGATCAGGAAACATTCCTATAAAGAAAATGGAGCATATAAAGAGCTATGGCGAAAACTAGCATCATTTTAAAATTTAATTTTTTCTATTAAATCTTTCTAAGAAATCTTTGATTGAATACATGCCTTAACTATGTAAATGAATTCCAAGTATTTCGGACCCGGTATTTGACCGTGGACGGAACATATATGTACGTACTCGTTTGTCTTGCTCAAGTTATTATTTCTCGCCATTATTCATTCATAATGTCGAGCGAAAAATAAAAAATCTACAAAAACCATACAGCAGAAAATAGACGTAACTAGAGTTCAAAAAGAAAAAAGAAAATAGACGTAACTCTTACACTGAAAACAAAATATTATAAATCCTGTGGGTTTTCCTTTCTTTTCTTTTTTAATTAGTTTCTAAAATGTTGAATTTTGGATCCAAATCCTATTCCTGATATATACTTTATAGAAAAAGATGTAAATAACTATATATCTGGTCTAAAGTCGTTACTGTTTCCATCACACACAGTAACATGTAACGATCGAGTATCGTGTAAAACATGCAATTTCTGTCTTCTTTGTTTTTTCTTTCTTTCTCTAGCAACGTGCATTTTTCAGCCTATACCAACTATAGTTGTAACTATGACAAAATCTTGCATAGAAATAAAGTAATAGATCGGTGATGTAACGCCTCTCTGCCTCACAGCCTTGCACTATGAGAAAAAGTCTTCCAAAGAAAGTGTCATGTTACTGTTTTAATATCAAGTCTTCATGACATCCGTCGGAACTTTGATCTATTTTTTTTTTTTTTTTGCTAAATAGTAAATATCATTTAAAATGAAGGTTTAGGATTTACAAAAAGCAGAGCCTAAAACTTTGGTCTATTTATTATACGTAACTTAGCTGCACATCTATACGTTGCTAAAATTATATTTGCGGTATCTAGTTTTAATTTATACCCTCCTCGATACAATAATTAATATCGTTTTTCATGCATATATTCAAAAACCTTAAATTTTTATTATGCCCTTCCATTAATATTAATGCAATAAGAACAGATGACAATTTTTAAAAAAAAATTCAAATGATAGCTGTTATTAAACGTAGGAAGGAAGTAGCATTTTGATGGTGGGTTTCCTAAAAAAATAGGTTTAATCCAAATATGAATTGACCAACCTAACTAGTCTAAATAATCAAAAGATTTATCATGTGGATTGAAAAACCGAGGTTGGAACCTTAACATTTCTATTTCAATCACGATAAATGTTTTAAATGATAAAAGTATTCAGTTCATTTTGCAATACTCGAAAATTAGTCGAAATTTTGGTGTAAAATTTATCGGTTGTAATTAAACATGGAATTCCACAATTTATAAAATCATCAACTATGTTGAAACAAAACAAACAGATTAGTTTAAACTAATGAGTGACATAAGCTGATACTAACCATCGATTTCGTTGGATTAGAAAAATAAAGCTACAAGACAGATCTGCTGATTTACAGTATTTTTGTCATAGTCAAATTTCATCTGCCTAAATATAAAAACCCGGTCTAGTTGCTACTAAAAACAACGGCAAAAAAATAAAAGTAAAAAAATCAAATTTCTGTCAACAAATGATCAAATAATTCCGTTTTCACACTTCGATTACTTAACTAACATTCAAACATTTCGCCGTAAAGTCAAAGTATTGGCGTGTTGACTAAATGTTTTAAAGTGGTTTATTTCCCAAATATTCTAATTAGTCTCCCTCTCCAAAGAGCCTTAAAACCGTTGACCACTTCAATGGCTTCGCTCCTCTTCTTCTTCATCATCATCATCACTGGCCACAAACTTTTGAACTTTCTTCCTCTCCCCTTGTTCTATCTCTCTCCACTACAACCCCCAAAACGATTGAATAATCGATGGCCGCCTTTAATCTATCCCGCCTCGATGCTCAATCCGCCGCCGAGAAAGCAGTATCGGTGATCGGATTAGGCTACGATCTCTGCTCCGATGTCCGTCTCTCGTCTTGCAAAGCTACACCCGACGGGTCGAGGTTGGTCGAGATTGACCCGACCCGGAACCGTGACCTGGTTTTCCCAGGCGGGATCGTCGTCAACAACGTCTCGAGCTCGATTAAGTGCGATAAAGGAGAACGCACTCGCTTTCGCTCCGATATACTCTCTTTTAATCAGGTTTCTTTCGAAAAATTTCTCCTTTTTCTTTCCTTAGTATCCATAGCTTCTTATTTGTACACCCCTTTTCTCTCTCGTTACAATTGTGTAGATGTCGGAGAAATTCAATCAGGGTATGTCACTCTCCGGGAAGATACCGTCGGGGATGTTCAATAAAATGTTTGATTTCAAAGGGTGTTGGCAGAAAGATGCGAGCTCGGTGAAGACGTTAGCTTATGATGGATGGTTTATTAGCTTGTACAGTGTAGAGCTCGTTAGGTCGCAAGTAACCCTACGCGATGAAGTGAAGCGTGAGGTCCCTTCTTCTTGGGACTCTGCTGCACTTGCTGGGTATGATCAAAGTCAAGAACTTTGGAGTTTTTAACCGCAAAGTTTGGATCTTTACTTTGTATGATTGAGGAGATATATTGGTGTTTTAACAGGTTCATTGAAAAGTATGGCACACATATAGTTGTTGGAGTAACTATGGGAGGCAAAGATGTGATTCACATGAAGCAGATGCGTAACTCGAATCACGAGCCTGAGGAAGTCCAGAAAGTGTTGAAGCAACTGGGTGACAAAATGTTCTCAGTTGATCCAGTTGAAAGTAACTCTCCTGTCTCTGCTTATCCCGGAAAGCCAAAGGTGAAAAAACAGAGTCTTGAGAAAAGCTGTTGGTTTAGGTTTCTCTCCTCATATAGCATTTCAAATCACAAAATGCTTTAAATGATTTCTGCAGGAAGAGAGTAGTCCTTTACAATTCGGATTTCATGGGCCGTTGGGTGCCTCCGTTGGTCCTGCTGTTATCGTGCGGTACAAGAACGAGGTACGCTTCTTCTTCTTCTAACCAGGTACTTCTTAGGTTTAACCTGGAATTTTTTCGTTTTTCAAAGAAGAAATACGTTGTTGCATCTTCAGGAAATGGTGAGCATTTGTGTTAGAAGGGGAGGTGTTGATATGGGGCAGAGTCATGTTCGATGGCTCTCAACGATATCACAGTCACCAAACGCCATATCCATGTGCTTTGTTCCTATAACTTCACTCTTGAGTGGTCTCCCAGGAACAGGGTTTCTTAGTCATGCAGTGAACTTATACCTCCGATGTGAGCATTTTCGTATGCTTTTACTTTTGTATCTTAGTTAGGTTACTCAAATGGTTCATTCAGGTAACCAAAAAGTTTTTTTTTATATAAAAACTTGTAGATAAGCCACCAATAGAGGAGTTGCATCAGTTTCTTGAGTTTCAACTTCCACGCCAATGGGCTCCGGTGTACGGAGACCTCCCTCTTGGGCTACGCCGCACAAAGCAAAGTTCTCCATCCCTTAAGTTCTCTTTGATGGGTCCAAAACTATACGTCAACACATCAAAGGTATATACACTTGTTCTTCACGTTTCTGTAGAAACTAACCAAACCTTTTTGCTCAATTCTGAAAAAGCCGATTTTTATAGGTTGATTCAGGTGAGAGACCAGTAACCGGACTACGGTTATTCCTGGAGGGGAAGAAAGGAGATCATCTAGCGATCCATTTGCAGCACCTCTCTACGTGTCCTCCGAGTCTCCACCTCTCACATGACGACACCTATGAACCCATCGATGAACCACCTGAAAAAGGCTATTACGAAGCCGTGAAATGGGGGATCTTCTCACACGTGTGCACCGTACCGGTTCAGTACAACGGAGCACGGTCTGATGACGCCGCCTCTATTGTAACCAAAGCCTGGCTAGAAGTCAGAGGAATCGGGATGAGGAAAGTTCTCTTCTTGAGGCTTGGTTTCTCACTCGTTGCATCAGCTGTTACACGTAGATCCGGATGGGATAATCTCTCATCAATCTCGCGCAAATCGGGCGTCTTCTCGATGATTAGTACGAGGCTAAGCGCGGGTTTGAGTCCGAGCCCGGCAACGATGAAGCCGCAGTCTAAGATCGATATGAACTCGGCGGTTTATCCAGGAGGGCCATCGCCGCCTGTGAAACCGAAGCTGCTGAGTCTTGTGGACATGAAGGAGGTGGTGAGAGGTCCAGAGGAACCACCTGGATATTGGGTTGTGACTGGGGCTAAGCTTTGTGTTGTGGCAGGCAAAATCTCAATCAAAGCTAAATATTCTCTGCTCACTGTTGTGTCGGAAGATTCATTGGTCTGAGAGATTCGTTCAGTTCCGAGGACAGGGAAGGGGTGTCTTAAGTGGGAACACAAGTTAGTGCGTTGTGTTGGATTTTTGCAGGTTTCAGTTTGTGATTAGCTTTGAGGTGATCTCGTCATGTGTTTTTGGGTTGTTGTGAAAAATTTATTTATATGTTGATGTAAATGTGTCATTGTATATTGATATTGTTGAATTTGACTATTTACATTATTACATATAAGTAATGTTAGTGTTTTACGTAGAGCGAACATTTTTTGATGAAACTATATTCTTTCTACTATTTCGATTGCAGATGATTATGTTTTGTCAATAAGCAGAGAGGTGTAAGATTTAAAGATATAGTTTTTAATTAGCCGGAGTTTGAAGGAGAAAGCTAGCTCTTCTTTCTCACGATGAAAATAGGAGGCTATCTGATACATAAAAGACAGATCAACATGGCAAGGACATGCTTCGAATATCAGATAAGAAGAGAATCATATAAGCTAGAAAGAATTTTCTTAATGCTCCCAATCTCGGGATACCACCTAAATAACAGCGGCCAAAAAGTAAAATAGATCGGGAAGAGAGAGTCTGAGGTTGGGTCGGACGACATACATCTTAATGGGTTCCAAGACTAACTTTCTTTATGTGAATGATTTTTACCTAGTAGTCAACTTCAGAGACCATTGGGCAAGTAAAAAGAATTAATTATGCCGACGATCTGATCTGAGTTGGTTTAGTAGCGCCCTGGTAGCTATTCTGGTACAAAGGTTTTAGATCGTAGGAAAAGAACGCTGACCTAAAGTTTTGTGAGTAAAGAACTGAGATCTAAAGCTAAAAGCAGAAAGCTGTTATTTGTTCTAGGTTTCGAGTACGAAGATATGAATGAATAATATTCGAAGAATGGCTCTTCTTTTATACTCGACATAGACTGCCTTAGGGTCAAATCATTCTGAGATAAGGATAATTTCCTTTCTTTTCGAGATGCACTTTCCTTTTCTTCCGAGATTTGAATAAATTTCAGAATATTTCTATTTGACCAGATTAACCTAAAACCTCAAAAGCAGAATTAGAGTTTTAAATAGACATTTTCTTCATTTATAAAAAACTTTTAGTAAAAGATGCTAAACCCATCAATAACAAAAGGTGAATGAGGAAAAAAAACTCAAGTTGCTTTCAATTTTCAACTCAATTTTTTTCTATTCAATTCAACTTTCAACGTGAATGTTTATAACGTTCAAGTCTATTCCATTTTCCTTTCTAACTCTTTTTTTCCGCTTATGTTTGTAATCTCTTGAAATTTCTAAGCAACACACACATATTTGTGTTCATCCCGTTTATTTCACTGATTTTATCGAAGTTTTTTTTCTTGTTCTCTTTTCATTTGCCATGTTTTACACTCTTAACAAACAAAAATAAATGAATATCTCAAACTTTTTTTTATAACTTTGAATATCTCAAACTTACATAATGGGTTTATGTTATGTTAATGCCCTCATGTCACGTGGCTCGTATTTCGTTGCTATTATATATACCATTTGCAAACACGATTCTATTTACTTTCCATACTCTCCTTTATTTCAAAACCAAAATTTTATTTTCTTCTCCAATATGGGGTCTTCTACCATAATGATATGATTGAGTTCGATTAGGCCAAACTTCTCAATTGACAGAATCTCTTATGTGCAAAGTAAGGACAAAGAAAAACACGATTAACTAGAAGGAACATTTTTCAAAGACTTGGGTGATTTATCACGTAATACTTGTTGAGGAAGGGTCTTGATAGTTCCACAACCTTCTACTATATAATTGTTATACAAATTGGATAATGACCAATATATATTAGGATAAGGATTAAGATGTATAAATATAAACATATAATGTGTTGTAGAGTTATCTCTAATGATGCTTGAATGTGAATAAGACAACAAATTTTCCCAAATATTTTTATGTTAAAATATTTTTACATGGTAGCAAAGCTTTCAATTCTATATGATCAAAGTTAAAATTTTCGCTTTATTAGTTTTGTGATCTTTTGTTCGAAAAACAATCAATGAGAGAGAGTTTAGAGACGAAAATAAACTAAACGATGTGTTATACATATGTTTTTCATGAAAAAAAAAAATCTTGGAAAATAAGTTTTTAAGAGTTTTTTTTAAAACATTAATGTTGTTGCAGTTTCTGAGACTTGTTCTCTTTTGATTGTGTTTCAAGTTGTTGAAGTTTTGATTGAGACGTGATCTCAATTGTTGGTCATTTCCTTTGAGATGATCTCAAATAATTTTGGTTTTACAAAGTTTTGTAATTATTTTGTCTGGAAACAACATAAATGATCTTTGAGAGTTCAGACCATTTCCAACAAGAATCTAAAAGACGTTTTAAATAATAAAAAATTATAAAAAAGGAAAAAAAATGGAGAAAAAATGAGAATCGATTCTGATATGGCAAGCAATGATTGGTTTGTTCTTTTAATTATTTATAATTTAATTATAAAAATTAATTATATTATTAAAATATTTTTTAGGAGACATTGGTATGGTTTCTGCTGTTGGTGATGCTCTTAGTACTCCTCAGTATAGCTCTAATAGTACTGAACTTAAGTTCACATACTTGTTGGTTTCAGAATACAACTTTCTGCGAATGTTCTGTTCGAGTTGGCTAATCAAATTGGGTCAAATTTCAATTAACAGGAAATCGTCGGCAAACGACAGAAACGTAATATAGACAAATAGCATGCAAGTGAATGGAAGAGAAAATATTAAACTCATAAAATTAATGAGAAGAGAGAAGAAAAAAAGACTATATAAAAGGAAAAAGTGGGAAAACAAATCAGGCAACGGTTCAAACTTCAAAACATGTTGCCTGTCAAATTGCTGACTTTTGTGAACAAAATCAAATGATCAATCTCTCTTCCGCGACGCCGTTTTATGGCTACGAACCATCCCCACCGACCTCGACTTGCCCAGCTTCATCGTCGCCGCTCTTTCTCTCTCGACGAGAATCCTGATTGTTGTAGTTGCAACCGCCGTATTATCTCCATCGTTTGGATCCGGTCCAACTTTCGACCGTCCCATCGCACCCACTGATCTCGATCTCAACACACGATTCCGGCGACGATGCGGTAACGGAGAAACCGGCATCTCCGTGACTATTCTCTCGCACACACCATCCTCGCTCCTCACGCTAGATACCGTGCTCTGCTTCTTGCTCCCTCCTCTCACCATCCTCACATGGATCTCTTCCTTTTCTTCACTCACGAATACGTTTTCCGATCTGTTTTCGCTCCTCCGCCACAGTCGATTCCACACGGGGTTTCCCTGAGATATCTTCCTCACTGAGTTCAAACACTCGACAACCTCCGACATATCTGGACGTTTCTCCGCCGTCGATCTCACGCATCTCGCCGCCATAACGGCTAATCTCCGGATCACGGCGGACTTAGGACGGTTTCTGATTCTGGAATCACAAATCGCCGCGAATTCGCCACGTTTTATCAGAGGCATCGCCCAATCAACGATACACGACGGGCTAAAATCCAAATCAATGGCTTCTCTTCCGCTAATAATCTCCAGCAACAGCACCCCGAAGCTGAACACGTCGCTCTTAGCGGTTAGATCCGCCGGCGCCAGGTACGACGGATCTAAGTACCCCAGCGTTCCCGCCGGCGGAGTGGATTTCAGATGCTCGTCGTTTACGTTTCCGATCAACGCCAATCCGAAATCGGCCAGCCTCGCGTTTCCTTCGCCGTCGATTAGGATGTTCGACGACTTGATATCACGGTGGATAACCGGCGTCTCGGCGGAATGAAGCGCGTGCACTGCAATCGCGATCTGAAGCGCGTGTTTGACTCTCCGGTTCCAGCTGCTAACAAGAGGCGGAGAATGCAAGTGGTCGTGAAGCGTGCCGTTAGGCATGTACTCGACGACAAGCAGCTTCGTCTTCCTCCGGTGGTCAACGCAGTAACCGATTAGGTTGACCATCCATCGGTGACGAACTCGCGAGAGAATCTCGATCTCGTTGTCCACCTGGTTTACGCTACTGCATTTATTATAATCATCAGCGGCGGCGATCGTGGTCCGTTTGACGGCGGCGAGAAGCTTACCGCCGTCGAGAACCGCCTTGTAAACTCTGCCGTGGCTTCCTTTCCCGAGGAAATTCCCTGCGGAGAAGCCGTCTGTAGCGAGGGCGAGTTCGTCGTAGTTGAAAATCCGGAGCTTAAGACGACGTTTCTGATCCTGGTGAGAAGATCTCGATCGACGTCGAGGATCGCAGATTGAAACGGCGGATTCGTCATTACAAAAAGGATAGCCCATGAGGAGAGATAGAGTGAGAAAGGAGCATGACTGGAATTTGAAGAAGAAGATAAGAGAGTGAGATTGATTACTGTTGAACAGCTTTGATGCAGAGAAAGATAGTGTGAACACAATCAAAAATGTCTTTTTTGACTCTCTACTTTCTTTCTTCTTCCTCTTTTTCTCACTTTATTTCAAAGTTGTTCAATTATTTCGTAATTTTAATTTGCATTTAACGTATGTGTGTATCTGTGCATGAGTGCGTGTGTGTAATCATTTCCTTGTGTTCATGATTTCCAAAATTATTTCCGCATTGATTTGTTAACGTTATAATGATACACTTTTAGAAGTTTAAGATTTTTTTTTTTTTGAACTAGATTTAGAAGTCAAGATTTTGCATGCACCATTATGATAGTATATGAATATACGCCGGAGATATCGGTGGATGATTGAAAGCAAATACAGTACGTAATAAACTCGATGGTAACTTAATTATATTCAGTTTTCTCTGCAAATGCACGCTAAAAAATACTAGGAAACACAAAATGCTCAAGACTGGTTTTTTTGGAATGATACCATCATAACAAATCTTGTCTCATGCGAAAATGTATTTGGTATACAGTACACTGTAGTATGTAGAGCCCCTTTGGGAGTGAGTCCAAGCGGGAAATTAAGATGAAAATGGGCGGCTGTTCAAAGGATTTTTTGTTCGGAACACAACAAAAAAAAAATGCTTTAATCCATAAAAATCATCTGCCCACATTTACACCCAAAAAAAGGCATGACTCATGAGAACTTTGTTAATTTTCTTAATCAATTTACGTCATCGGTTCGTTCCCGAGTCACTGAAATCAAGGAAATAAACTGGTTACTCTAATTCAGCAATTGCAACGCCTTGTGAACTCTATGATCCGATGCACGTCACGTGTGATGTTTCGGCTTTGACTTCTGTCTCATTAAATGGTTCGATAATCTGGTTTACGGTTTAGATAAATACGAAAATCTGGTTATCTTTGTTTAATTCCATTTTGTAATATTATCTTCAGTTTTAAGAATTTTATACACTCAAGTTTCTGTTTGGTTTGGTATTAAATTAGTTTCGCCGAGACAGTAAAATTAATCCAAAATGTTTATTAGAATTGTTTGAAAATGAATTTTACGATTGTAGCCAAAAAGCCTCGGATTATTAATCAGATATATAAATAACTTAAGATGCCAACAAACTACAAAAGAGCTACAATAGAGGGCGATGGGAATGCGAGGATATTTGATTCAACGATTCACTTGGATATTTATTTATTAAGTAAAATAGTTAAAAACATTTGCAGAAACACCTCTTTATGGTTAAAGAATCAACACAAGTTGTCTTTCTTAGAATCTTAAACAAAATCTTCCTGGTTACTGCAATGTTGAGAAGAAGAGTCATCCATCTACAACACATACAAGAACTCCATCAGAAAATTTCGACCAAAATTTATCAAAAGTAAAACACAACAAGAAAATAAATCATGCGAACTAAGAGACGTGACTCGTGTTATCATCACTTCTTAAGGTTTCTTTCTATAAACTGCCCTAAGATCAAGTTCAAGAAACCCAAAAAAGCAAAAAAAGTTTCATTTCAGCACCACCTTGTCTTAGACTGCATGCATGATGCATCGCTGACCTCTTCCCCAGTAATTCATCATACATCATCATTGCAATCTGAGTGAATACAATTTTGTATCAGTGTTGATTCTTATGCTGATTACAAAGTGTTCTAGTCCCAGAGGTTCAGAGAAAATATAACAACACGTCAATATTTCAAGCCTATTCAGTCGCATATACTATCACACAGAACCAACCAGAAATCACCCATTTTTCTAGGAATAATACTGCCTAAGGTTCCGTTTCAGAAAGACTAAAAAAATCTATAACCATGATTGCGAATCAAGTAAAAGACCTAACTCCAAGACTAGAGGATAAATTGACTCACATCACTTTTGTTGATTGGTCTTCATCTAGTCTCGTCTAGCCCTACAAAGGACAAAAATTTGATTTATTTTGCAAGACATTGGATAATTGTGTGTAAGAAAAAGATGCCACAGGACAGACTCTGCTTAAGGATTTTCATATCTATTCAAAAACTGGAGTGTACTCTTAGTAAAAACATTAGATGCTTAGAAGAAGTATACAAAAAAAAATTGACTTCTAAATTTCTAATCATATAAACATCAAGATCTTAAGGACATAGACCTACGAAGCTTAATACTACAAATCCAAAGAAAACGCGGGATCCAAAAAATTTGTGTTCAAGAATGAAAAAAAGCCTAATAAAGCTAGCAATGCACACACAAAGAAAACTCAGAGTTTCCAGAGAAGTTTAGAATTAACATAGTCCATGAACATACATAAAAGCCACATTCACTACACTCAGATCAGCAAGATTCACCTGAGAGTATACACTCAATTGAATTGTATAATCATCACTATGATTTACATCTTCAACAACATGTTTCTTTTCACCAATCTCCCCACTTAAAATATTTAATCCCAAAACTAGACTAGACAATCAAAATCAATTCATTAAAGTTCCACAATTGCGAGAATTTTGTAGCGTGTCGACATTGAAACAATATTGTCTTTCACATTTTGTTTTGTTTAAAGCTTAGTTTCGTGCATTTCAGCTATCAAACAAACTATACCATCAAGAAATTGACAATGGAGAATCGAGATAAGAAGAGAGTGAGGTACCTTCAACGATCCAACCACGGCGTGAAGCCGAGAGCATCGAATTGAGCAAAGCAGAAGCAGTGGCAGTGTGGTAAGGGAGCATCGTCTCCACGCAACAGCTCAGTTCTACCGGAGATCTTTCATTCCAAAGAAAGTTCGCAGAAATTTCAGAATTGAGCAAATCGACGAAACCACTGTATCAAAATGTTTCGGAGAAAGGTTCTCTGTGCGTAAGAAAGTTTTACCTGAAAATGCGGTTTGAAAAAGGGCTCTGTTTAGGCGTTCGAAAAGCAGACTGCGGCGATGCCGGCTTGGCCTTGGGTACGGTGGAGAATCTAGACGCCGCGGCGGATGCCCGGCTTGCGGCGGAGCGAAAGACGGATCTAGCGGCGGACATTGGACGTTTGGGATCTTTCGATTAGGATTTTTTTTTTCCCCCTTCGAGAGAGTTTAGGGCTTTGGCGTAGGGTTTTGCGAATAGGGAGCGATCTAATGCATCTGCACTTACAGGAAGCTTGATGAAACAGTTTGCAGATAAGTGACACGCGTCAAATCCGGAATTTGTATTTTGTCAATTAATAATTATTAATTTATTAATTTTAAAAGACATTTTTCGGTTCAAATTTTAAATATTTGTATATATAAAAAAATCAATTATATAAAATTTATTCAGGAAATGTCATATCAATAAATTCGAAAAATAAATTAAATAATATTTATAATTTTAAACAACAACAAAATTATATTATATTGTTATCTTACAAATTTGTTAATTTTTACATTAAGCCGATTTAGAATCAATAATTTATAGTAAAGATTCTACCATAAAAATATTAATGTAGTTACAAAATTAACAATACCATATCATTTAACTATTTTATTGTTAGTATTTAATCATTTTAAGGTAGAAAACAAAAATTCTCGGATTCTTTAAAACAAAAACAAATTTCCATTTTTTTTATCGGATTTATAAACTAGCGTATATTTATATATATATTTCTCGATATGGTAAAACAATTCAACTAATATATATATTCATAAAGTTTAGACTAAATAAATAAATCCAGAAAAGGAAAAAGGAAGAACTAACTTTGTCCTTTATGTTCCGTGATTAACGGAATTGGGACTCAACTTTTCCTCGTCAAGAGGTGGATTCTCTTTGCTAAGTGCCTTTGAACTTTGAAGTGTCCTTGTCTTTTACTTGTCTCGGCGTTTCCGTTGGTCTTTTCCACCCATATCACCACCATTATCCTGAACCTTACTAACGATTTTAATTATATATAAACAAAAACATTTTCACTTCTGTTTCTACATAGTATATGCCAAAGAAGGCCAGAAACAAGATTGATGGTAACAAAAGCTTTTACTTGTCGTGGCGTTTTCTGTTGTGTTTGATTGTTTGTATCTGTAAAATCACGTTTTTTTTTAAGAAACCGATTGTCTCTCGTTATCACTTTTTTAATGTAAGAACTGAGAACTATATAATTTCTACCAACGTAACACTGTATATGGTTTGTGATTACACCCTTTGGGACCAGTAATTAATACATACAAGTTTGTTAATTGTTGATGTATCAATCTCAGCTAACAATCAGGCATGAATCGATTTCTGTGGCATCAAACAATATATGTTTTCTAGATCCAAAAAAATAAATATTGGATTGGGTGTGCATGTAATTATTAGTGTCTCTTTTGCACTTCCGCAAGGGGGAATGGGCATCTTCGTGTGCCCCATTATAAATCATTGAAAGCAGTCACGTTTGGTCCCAGTTTAATTATGGATCCATAGTCTTTAACAAAGTTATTTTTAACAATTTAAACCAAAGAGGTACTGATCAAATTAAGGGTCCCTTAAAATAACATAAAGCTTCGAATATTATATGCAAACGAAAACATCATAGTTCAAAAACCCATAAAAAAAAGCAGACCCAATTCAACTAAAAACACACAAATTTGTTTTCACTTTTAAATTTGCTGTAATGATAACAACGATTTTACTTTGACTAATCAACCATATAAGTAATATAACTTAGTTGAAATATAAAAAGAAAATACTATTAAGAGTGTAGTGATGATCTTGAGAGGAAATCAAATAAACACATCTTCATCAAGGCTTGAATTGATCTCCTTGCTCCTCAGCAAACTCCTCGGGCTGTTCGTTCATCATGTTCTTCTCCCACTTGGAATTGTACGGATCCTTGAAGCTCTTCTCCTCCTCGTTGTTGTTGTTGTTGTTGTTTCCGTACGAGTACGACTGCTCGTAGTTATTCTCGGTCGTGGGAGAAGTATAATAACCGGCGGGGCTTTTCTGATGAGGTTTCCGGTAGAAATGGCCGTGGTTTTTGTCGTTGTAAAGGTCGTAATAGTAGCTACCTTTCTCCATGAATCTTGTGTCACTCATGCCTTGTCTCTCTAAATTATGGCTGTAACCTTTGTACGGTGTTTCACGTTCTAGCTCCGTCCCGTAAGCGTTGGAGTTGTAGAAGCTTCTCTTCTCTTCATTGTTCTCGGGGAACGACTCTTCTTTGACGTTTTCATCGTACTTGTTGTTGAACTCCTCGTTGTTGTAACGGTTATTGTCGTAGCTCTCCGTCTTTTTCGGATACTTTTCGTCGTAGTTGTTGTAAGACGACTCTTCGGTCTCGCTCAGGCTTGGAGTTGAGAAAGTCTCGCCGTTGAATTTTTCATCGTACTTGTTGTTGTTGTTGAACTCCTCTTTGTTGTTGTTGTTGTTGAACTCCTCTTTGTTGTTGTTGTTGTAGGTGGTCTCGTGACCGTATAAGCCGTATCCGTTTTCGGACTCGGGGAGAAAGGTAGGTTCTTGTTCTTGCTCTTTCTTGTTGGGGACAGATTCTTCCACTGAGGTTTTCTCGCTGGTTTCGAGAGGGAGGACATTGTTAGCAGTTTGGTCTTTGGGGGATTCTCGGTGGAATTTGCCAAAGAAGTAGCTGTCTCTTGCATTGATTTGGGTGGAGAGAAGAACAAGTGTCGTGAAGAAGAAGAAAAGGGAGCTTCTAGTGGAGAAAGCCATGATGTAGTGTAGTGTTGATATCTTCTATCGATAGGGAGAAGAGAAGAGACAATGTGATATTGTGGACTTGTTGAGAGCTAGTGTGTGTTTATATAGAAAGAAGCTCTCTGAGTTTTTTGTTTCTCTCTTCTTTTTCTTTTTCTTTTTTTCTTTAGAAATTGTGGACTTTTTTGTGTTTTTTAATTTGAAGTCGTTAGGTGCAAATGGGGACTGGATAGGTGATAATGGTTGATTGTGGGTCCATTAGGATGAGATGATTTTCAAAGAGGTAGCTCAGCTTTTTTGCCTATAAGATTAGTTTATCTGAAAAAAGGTAATTAACCACTTTTGGTTGTTTAACTTCGACCCAAAAACGATTATCGACTAATCTTGTTGAGGTGAATACATGGATCGTATTTTAGTAGTTTTGTCGAATTAGATAGGGAAGCTTTCTTTAAATCAATGGGTGGTTTACTCTTGTTTTTTTTTTTTTTTTTTTTTTTTATCATCATGTAATTGTTTCTTAGCAGCTGAGGAGTTAGAACAAAAATTTAGCCTCCTAAACTCATCGACATAATAGTATCATGTTGATCATTGAATAGCCTCGAGATGCTTCCTTATTGTAAAATCACTTTATAGTTATGTCTTCTAAAGGTCTCAACTTTCCCGATCTTCAAGCAAACCCAAAATAATACAATATGATTATTATTTCAGACGGTCAGACAAAGCCACACTTATATAAAGCTGATTTGAAATGCACCAGTAATTTTATCATCACGTAGGCATAATCATTCTTGCTTTGTACTATGAGAAAACAAGAATAATCAATGGTCTGGTCCAATTAACATTTACAAGATTAGATTAATATCTGAAGATACTATATGAATTTATTAACTGATAGGTGGTGAGGAAAAACCAATACTCCAGTTTTCTGATTAAGCTTAATTATCTATCGGTCAAAGGCAATTGTGATTTGCAAATCTAACGAGATAATTTGTTTTCTTTGAAAACTTTAAGATGGTGATTAGTTAGACAAAAAATATTAGTTTGTAACTTATAATGTAATGCCTATGATTTTATTATATATGTCTATATAGTAAACCACACAATATCCTAATGTACATGATCGGTCAAGATCAACAGCATGAACAATATGTAGGAAAAAAAAGTCATCTGTTAACATTTTACTCGCAAGTTACATTATAAATTAAAGTTTAATTTCTAAAACACATTCTACTAAGTTTTTTTACTGCCTTGAATAATTTTACCCAGTGAAAACAATATAATAGGACAAATAAAGCATCAAGTTGATGAATTTTGGGGTTTATTTATTTTCGAAATACTAAATTCTGTTATATAAACTTTGCAAATACTTTTTTTTTTATATATAAATCAAGCAAACACAAAACTGTGCTTATTTCGTGGTGATTCACTTTATCAAAAAAGGAGAAAGAAACATTAAAAAAAAAGAGAAGAGGGAGAAAATGAGAGGCCGAGTAATAATGCGAGGATTGAGGGAGTGTGGGTGGGATTGGGGATTCCCACTGATCACTATGGAGACACCAATACACACATCATGTGACCCTAAGCCACTATCCTCTCTAGTTTCTATAGTGTGTGTGTGTGTGACTAAATTTCGTGGTTCTATACATTTCTTCATTTTCTATTTTTTTTCCATCACGTAGAGAAAGTCATATTTCAAACTTTGTTATGTCTGGACAATTAGGTTTTTCTGTGGTAGATAATAATAAATCATGATCTGGCAGTCTAAAACATAGAAATTTAGATAGACGGAAAGGAAATACTTACTAGGATTTATAAAAAAAACAAACAAATGAAATGTCAACGAAAACATGAGAAAATGCGATATACGTTATTAAATCATTTCGAAGCAACATTGACTAATATGTGGGGATGATCAGTATGAGAGACTGTGAGAGGGAGTATGTATTTCTCGTTTTCAGACATACTAAGAGACTTTGCACACACACACAGAAAAAAGACATACTAAGACTAATAAGAGACATACATAACCATTCAAAAAAGCTAGAAGGAATATAAATGTGAAGAATAAAGTGCCCGTAACCTTTAACCTTTTCTATTTATTAAAATAAAGAAAGATACATTAAAAAAATACAAGTGAAAAATTCAATAAAATCGTAAAACAAAAGTAAAACAAGAAGAAGATCTGAGCAACGCGGGGAAAAAATATTAAACAAAATAAAATTATATAGAAAAGAAAAAACAAGGTTAATGCAATCCTTAATCAATCAAAGACTCAAAAATGTTGGGGGGAGATTATGTAGCGTGACTAACGGAATGGGACCGACAAAGAGGTCTTGTGGTGGGAGTAGTCGAGCCGTGTAGGACCGTGCAGCAAGCAACCCTCTTTTTCTTTTCTTTTATTTTTACTACATATTATATAGTTAAAAATGTAGTTATCCATAATCCACGCTACAATAATTAAATTTCAATTTCATTTATCTACTAAATTAAAAATTTTCGAATTCTAGTGTTTTTGTTATTTTATACATCTTTACATTAAATACTAGTTTATTTTATTTTTGTCTTTAATAAATAAAATTTTGATCCGCCAATTCACTTCTGTTCAAAACCAAACCAAAACTTAAACCTATCATATATCAACTATGACTAATTTATGATAACTGATTGAAAATGCAATGAGGATCACTACTGAAGAATTTCACGTCCCATTGTTGGTATCTCAAAATATGAAGTTAATAGCCTAATCATCACAACCAACCTCAATAAACCACGAAAGAAATGGAGCTTGAGAAGATTGGTCGTAGTTGTGGTTAGTTGCTCTCTTGCTGATCTAATAATATATACTTTCAATTGGAGATAGTATATATATATATAACAACCGTAGCTAGTGAAGATTATTATTATCAGGAATCACCATGAGTGCAGCAGAAAAGAAACATGAACAACTGAATAATTGTTGATGAACACAAGAGTATAGTCTTTATCCGCAAGAGACTATAAAGACTCATCCTCAATATACTGTAGTCTCACCGTGAAAGTCTCATTCTCAAAATACTGTTAAATAGGAGAAAAACAAAAATGTTCATGAGCAAGAGAAACATCATCAAGAACTTCTCGCATGTTATCATAAATAGCATCCAGCGCGCGGAAAATGAGCATCTCGGGATGTGTGGGCATAATAACATATGAAAACGGTAGCATCGTTAGCTACTTAGCTTCCAGAGGAAAAGTAGCAACTCGGGATGCAGGTTAAATAGTCAAAGAGCTAAGAATCCGTACGTCACACTGAGGTCAAGATCTCTGACGTAGAGCAAACAAAGATCGTCGTGATTCACTCCGTCGCCGCCTCCAGCCGAATCCACCGTCCCGTCTCTAACAGAACCGGAGGAGAGTGTGAAGAAGGAGCCTCCATTTGTTGCTGCTATAAAACCAGATTGAAATGAGAGAAGGAGCCTCCATTTGTTGCTGCTATAAAACCAGATTGAAATGAGAGAAGGAGCCTCCATTTGTTGCTGCTATAAAACCAGATTGAAATGAGAGAAACACCTAACGAAAGGAGATTGTATAGTTTCTCAAGTCTCTCTACGACTAGTCAGGTTTAAAAAAAACAAAAACCCTAGACAACTAAGTCTCTCTCTCTACAAGTGTTTCTTTCCTTTTAAATCTACTATTTTGAGATAAATATAGAAAAGAAAAGAGGGTGATGGATTTTGAGATGAAACAGAGTTACAAGACATACCAAAGAGAATTATCAGATGGTTACTTTGAACGCAAGAAACTGATATGTGTTCTTACTGTAAAAAGATACACATATAGGGTTTTTGAGGTGATCAGCCTTCTCTAAACCAAATAAACAGAACAGTCCATGGGCTTGAAAAGGACATAAATAGCCCAATTCGGATACCTTGATGCACACAGGTTGAAGCGTGAAAAAATAAGAATAGTTTACGGGCACGTGTCAGTATACACGTAAAATAAAAATGTCCCACATCGGTTTTAGCAGAAAAGGGTGACATGAAACATTCTTTATAAATAATGCATAAAGTACTCGATTTTTGCTGTTAGGGGCTTCGATAAAGCTATAGCGAGCTACGTAAACGCAACGGTGGGCGTGAGTCCAGTAAATACCATTTGTATAAGAAACGTGGTGATTATTAGTCTTCATTTTGTCATAATTACCAAATTAGTCAACAGTCTACGAAAAGACATAACCATAACAGAATAACTATTGAAGTAAAAAAAAAAAGATCCATAAATTACCTAGAATCATTTTACCGCCAATTAAAAGCGAGAAAGTCAAGTAGTGCAAAGATTTATTTTCTTTCTATTGTCATGAATTTAGCATATATCCTGGGACGTCCGATCCAAATACTGTTATACAAACGTTTGAGTTTTGGAATGGGAAAATCAATAGAAGAATCAAACCATTCTTTGATTTGATTTCCAGAAAACAGAGAAGGAATAAAGAAAGATTGTTTGGCGTTGAAGAAAGAAGACGAAGAAACTGATACGAGTACTTTAACACTCAAGTCTCAACACAATGGCAGATGCTCGGGAGAATCTGCAAGAAGCTCAAGGAAGAAAAAGAAGAATCCATGAAACAGAGTCGAGATCCATTGAAGAAACCAAGAAACTGAACAAGAACTTGCTCTGTTCTTCGCTAAGGGTTCAAGACAATCTGCAGCAACAAAGCAACGGCGAAACAGAGGCTCATGATCAACAAACTCTGGAGAAACAGAGAGATACTGAGAAGCAGGGGAGGGGGATTCGTTTCAGACTTGATCAGGTTTACTTTTGAACTGTGAATCATCAAAGATTTTTGTCAAATTGTATTTGGAGATATCAAAAGATTAGATTCTCATGTGGGTTATCGGGAGGAAATTGGTCGATGATCGCTAACGTTCAGGCGCATGGTAACTTGGGTGCACCACACGGACGAATCAAGACCATATATGTATAAGAATATAGGAGTCTAAACAACTTAGATTTGTATATATCTCTTTAGGTTATACATATGCATCTCTAAGCTTCATGTTTATCGCTTGTAATGTGTATATAAGATACATCGATCGTCTTCTACTTTACAGTTTTATCATCGACAACGGATGAAGCAGCAGCAATCCCAGGCACAACAACCACAACAAGACATGAAATTCCAACAACAAGAAGAAATCATTCAGCTGCAGCAACAAACGTCTCCTCAGAAACACCAGTCGTTAGCTTCTCATTTCCATCTATTTCCGGTAAGAAACAAAAGATTTGAAACAGATGAATCCATTTATTCTCTGAAACATATGAATCGGATTCCTTGTGGTCTAAGTAACGTATGGGATTCGCAGTTGGTAGAGAAATTAGCAGAAGCGATTGAAACTGGAAGACGAGATCAGAATTCTAATGCCCTGGTTTGTCTCTTTTTATCCCTCTCTCTCTAGCATTCTATCTTAAAGGTAGTTTTTGGGGTTTCTAGGGTTCTTGGATGTTGAAATGTGTGGGTGGAATTGCAGGTGACTGAACTGAATAGCCAGTTCAACAAGAGCCAACAGCTGTTGAATTCGATTTCAGGAAATATTGGATCTAAATCTATGGTAATAACAAAAAAAGCTTTGACATATCGATCGGAACAAAGTTTGTCTAGTTTTTTGCTTAAGGGATCTTCGTGTCTTTTCATAGACTGTTGATGGACAAAAGCGAAAACTAGAAGACAATGAGAAGTTGCTTCAACAAAGAAGGTAAAGCAAATGGATACAACATCAATTTCATATTCATCTTTAATTTGATCAGATTGATCGTGCTCTTACTTACACTTGTCTTTCTTAAATCTATGGTCAGGGAATTGATGGTGGAATATAGGAAAACTATTGAAGCTATTTTGAAGATAGAGCCTTAGTTGCTCGTTTTGAATTTTATTCATTCAGCAACTTAGCTGCTGGTGACCAAGAATTTGTAATCAATTTTTTTCTTTCTTTCATCAGATTACAAATAGACCAATGAAAACTCTCAGATTGTTTGGAAAGCAAGAAATTAACCGATATGTGTCTGCAACAGAAGAACACACAATAATGCTTTCATAAGATGAACATATGTATTAATGTTTATTGACTAGTTTTAGACTTAAACCCAACCAACATAGTTTTGCGTGGTGGAAGTGACCGGTGCATTCACGCATGCAATTGTCATAAATACCAAAACCCACCAAAGTCATCAAATCTTTGGTGGAATCAACCACACAGAGCCTAGGCTGGTTTAGTTTAGTTTTTAAAAGATTTTACAACACTGCGATTGGAACCCTTGTCGAATATAATAGCAACTACCACTAGATTAAAGAGACATTTTGCAAATTGGAAGACTGGATTTTTATATATAAAAATAGAGTAGCAAGCATGAGCTTGGTCCGCTTGGGCTCAGGGCCGGCACTGCAACCACGTCACCCCATTTATTCTCAAGGTCAGCGAAAACTTTCTTTAGTTGTGGGAGAACATCAGAATCTCTAATACCCTGGAGGAAAATACATGATCTGGATAAATGCATTGGCATAGCATTTTGGCCGAGGTTTTTCAAGCCAACAAAAGAAGGCTCTACCTCAGTGAGAACCATATATGCTACTGTTGGCAAACTTTCTTTGAGTTGAGTTGTTTGTTGTACACCATGTACTTTGGGTCGAAACAATTCCCCTTTTTGAGAAAGATGATTTCATCCTCTTTGTTTCCATTTTCTATCAAGTTTGGATGGTTTTAGGACAATTTTGTAATTTAACCAATATAACAACCAACATTTTTTGGCCAATATTTTGTTACAAAACAACTAATTCACAATGGATTTTTTTTTAGAAATTTGGTTGAAATCCATTTTTTTTGGACGAGCTCATTTTTCCATTATAGACCTAATAATATTTATTTAGAAATGGTGATAACAACAAAACATAAACATGCTTTTTTCCTTTAGGATTCGAGTTATATATAGGTCATGTGAACAGTTTAAACAACATATCTATATTACATTTGTATTTTTTGTGGAATATGTGATAAATGAGATTTTATGATATGATAGTGGCTAGTTAACAACTAAAATTTGACTACATTCTAAAGATTTGTCGTTCAGATCCGGCAGTGGTAATGAATCACAATAACTAAAATTAAAGCTAGAGTGTAATTAATGTTAACAAAATGTATATACCATAAATTCGTATACGACTTCGATTTTTGTATAATTAATATTTATATTCACACATATATATGTAAAAAAATCAAAATATGACTTTTATGTAGTAAAAGAAAATAACAAAATATATGTTTTGTAATATATATTTTTATAATATATGATTAAATTTTTAAAAGAAATAAATATATATTCATGTAAGTATAAGTTAGAAATAAGTAAATTGTAATATTTAGGTGTTAGTTAATTTTTCTGCTCTGTTCCACAAATATTATGTTTTACACGATGCAGTTTTTGATGTTTCAATGCATTGAACCAACTTTTGAGTTTAGGTATGAACTGAAGATAATGCAACCATTAAGATATGAAAAAGCCTATTTTTCCTAAAATATCAGGTGAAAAAGAAGATCAAACCTGTGTAATGTGTAGGTTTTGGAGGCTGACTCGGTTGACAAAATATTAGAGGGAGGAGTAAATTTCATAGGAAAAAAAAAGTTTCTTTGATTTTGGTGAACACACCCAACTTCCACACAAAGCAATTTATATGAAATGCAAGCACATCAAGATCAAGAAACATCTTCTTCAATTATGGTAGATCAGCATACTCTTTAGCCATAGAGATGAAATACATGATTTGTATTACAGAATTGGCATGACATGTCATGCCCCAAGTTCCTCAAGCCAGCAAAATGAGAAGTCCTGAGAACGATGTCGTATCAAATTAGAAAAAAAAGCAGTTTTTAAATGCAATCCAAGATGAATTCAAGAAATCAAACTCAAAATGATCTGTACATCCTTTGTTCAAAAAGTTAATTTAGATTATAAGAAAAATGAAACAATTTAGTTAGTAGTTGTTTGATTTCGTTAGTAGTTACTAGTTATGTATGAACAGTCTTCCCAATACATCCCAACTAGTTGCTCTATAGATTTTTGCATTTTATTATTAGGCTAAGACCATTTAGGAGTTGTTGCAACACATACCGGCAGGCTTAAAGGGTTTATATTATGCAACATGCTATTAGTTAATCATAAGACCATTTCTAATGCAGTATTTAAAGAAAATATTTAAAATTAAAAATATATTAAAAATTTGATAAAGAAGAGAGAAAATTTGGAATTGGTCTCTTTAACTCTCATTTGGGAAGCGCTTCTAAAAAAAATGAAACACTTTGAATGGACATGTCTTTATGTAATTGGTTGATTTTATTTATCATTTAAATTTAAATTTAATTATTAAATTATAATAATATAATATAAATGAGATAGAGTTCTAGCGTTGGAGATGGTCTAAGGGCATCTCCATCGAGCGTATGTAAGATCATATCTAAGAATAAAATAATAATTAAAAAATAAAAAAGGAAGGAAGAGAATTAAAAACGCATCTACTTGTTGCTTGTTTAGAGACGTTTATAAGAATATTGAGATACTCTAAATCTATGTGGCTTCTTGTTATTGGTTCACTTTTCTAATTATTTAAAATTTAATTAAATTATTAAATTATATTAATATAATATACTTTAGATACGGTATGACCGAAGTAGCCTGCGTTTGTAAACATAATGTCTTGTTTTATTTACTTTTTGATCGTACGTTAAAAGAAAAAGAATGAGATGCTTTTAAGGAATTTTTATGCATCAAATCAAATAAAAAGTAAAATATTAATTTTGAAGCTTTTTTAAAAAAATGAAAAAATAACGACATATGCCAGTAAAGCATTCTTTTTAATCCAGACAACATGTTTTTGAGTGTACTTATAAACGAATTCAAAGAATTTTTGTTTAATTTGTATTGAGAGGATTCCTTGGATTTACAATGAGATAAAACCTAATATTTTTATACAGTATAAAGTTATCGAATGGATCTTGATTTTCGCTTTTTAAACGGTTTATATATTTTGATTAACAAAATATATTAAATAATATACAAAAATGATTTCATGAGGACAATACGAAATAACAAGAATAAAAGTAAAGTGTAGTGTTTGTTTGTATTATAAATAGTGATGTTCTTGGCATGATCCATTTTAAAAGATCAAGTCTTCTTGATTCATTTGGTTCATTGTTTTCATCAGAAGCGATAATATTCAAATTGTCTATAGTTGCTGTTAGAGCTGTTATTCATACCATCTCTACAAGCCCGATATGAATTCTGGTCAGCCCATTCTATAAGTTTCAGGTCGGCTAAATAAATGAAAACTTTCCATTTATCGTACGAACCCGAGAAAAAGGAAGTTCCTTCTTGTCGGCAAGAAGACTTTCCTATTCTAAATACACGTCGCAAACCGACCTGATCAACTATAAATATGAAAAGCCTTCGACTTCTCAGATCATCTAAAATCATCTATCGAGACCTAGGGCAAACTAAGCAATCTGGTTGTTTTAGCTTTCGATTTACTTTCCATAAAATTTTAGGTCGGCGTTCTTATTCCAACAACCTAAACCTCCGTGTATTCATTCAAGCTCCGGCTTCTTCTAATAAAAGACTTCTCTTTAAACCCACAAACCCTAGTTCTTTCGTAGATCGAACTTGAGTTTTTACAGTTGCAGAGGTTTAATTTTTTACTCATACAATCATAAGATCCGTTCAATTGGCTAGTAATGAAAAATAAGTTGATTCTTCTTTTCATTTAATTTTTTTTTTAATAATTTGATAAACGGCTCACTGGGATAAAAGGGCTATTTGGAAGTTCCATCTATAATGAGTTTAATAGTATTCGTATTTGACAGCAATTTAAGTCCTTCATTTTGTGAAAACCCCTTTTCAAAGCCAAAAAAGGGGAAAACATCGGGACTCAGTGTTGAAAAAGTGCTTTTACGGATGGTCAAGCCCATGTTTTATCGGGTAAACATGTCCTGATCGATATGAGTGTTTCTGGAAGCATTCATCCCCCAAGCTGCGCAAAACATAGGTTAAAAATCATGTATGTAATGAAACCATACTAGTACTTTGATCGAAAACATTTTTACTTACCGGTAGTCATGAGAGCGGATTTGATAGCGGAAGGCGACCAATGAGGACGGAGTGTCTTGACATAAGCAACTATATCCATGACAAGAAATAGTAACTCACGCTCTCTCCGATCGATGTGGCTGCCACCGGTGAATATGCTGCGTATATATATACTCACCCCCGGAGCTGTTACATCCGGCTGCATCCATCACTTTCCAGTGTCAATAAGAGACCCAAAAAGTTTGTGATTCATGAATTTTGATCTAAGTACCGATAGTTCACACTTCTTATATTCATGTCTCCTTATATGACATTTTCTAGTTGCTGTTAGCGTTACCTTTAAAATATCGCTAACGATAGTGTTTGGACCACGAGAAGAAAAAGAAGCAACAATGGGAGCATTGGTGTCCTTAGCCGTCTCACTCTACAGTATACATCCTACCGGATTAGAAGAAGAAAAATATATAAATTAGATACACTTGCAAATTGAAAAATATGTATAAGTGCACGAGTGTACCAATCAGACGTCTAAAGAAAATACTAACGTGTCCAAAAATACATTTCAAAAAGTAAAAATAATAAAGTTGGTGGTTACAGATAAATAGCATTTTAATTCTTTTTTTTTGTTATAATGCCATTCTTCGGTGTCCATGCAAATGCTGCAAGCACAAAAAATAACATTGCAAAGAAAAAAAAGTAATAGTACATGTATATCTGAGCATGTATATGCATGACTCCATTACTAAATCAAAGAAGAGTTTTGGTACATCAGGGCTATCGACG